AGTCTCACCTCTGTAACAGCGCTCCAGGCAGGAAGGAGGAGGAAGGGAGTGGGAGAAGCAGCAGCTTCCAGTTGAGTTAGCCCCTTTGAATGGGTCTTTCCTGGAAGCTCCATCCAATGACTTCCTAGCCACAGTTGGCGCAGGGAAGCCTGGGAAATGTCTGGGCACAGCGTCACCTGTAGCACCGTGAGGGGTCTGCTGGTAAGGAAGAAAGGGCGACCGGTTGTTTGAAAGCAACCTGCAGTCTCTAGTACACTTGCCGGTGCCTAGGAGCCAGGAACAGATGAAATTTCGTTCGTGTAAGGGAATTAAGCCGTTGGTACCAAGCAGTTGGTGCAGCCTTCCACCTGCACTGAGAAAGGAGACAGATGAAGAGTTAGCTGTCACGGAACCATCTCCTTGAGCTGCATTTCTTGGCCCCTCGTGGTATTCGCGTTAGAAGCAGGGCCCTCACCCTGACTTCAGACAGGATCCCATTTGTTTGATTTCAGAGCAGGTGGTGACCTTTGTTTTCTACCTTGGCCTGCATAGGTGTAAAAAAATGGTTTTGGGTCCTTAACACTTGTGGTGGCACAGCATAACATACACAGCTGTCGAATCACTCCGTTGTACCGTTGTGTGTCCACTACACTTCAGTTAAAGAGAAAAACAGATGATATTCAGGAGAGCAGAGCAGCTAGGCATTTGGGCTGTAGGATTGGACCTGAGTTCATATCTTGATCCCACCACCAGACTCTGGTGTGATCTTGGGCAAACGTTCAAAACTTCTGATGCCTTAGTTTTCTTATCTGTAAAGAAGAATGGTAATCGTTCCTACTTCAGAGTTCTGATGAAGCCCAAATGAGGCACCCAGGCCCATGGTGAGTGCTAAATAACGGGTAGCTATTATTTAAAGTCACTGAAACATAAGAACAAATGACACCTACAGATCACAACCACCTAAGGGAGAGCGGAAAAGGGGAATTAGGAACTGGCATGCAGAAGTGAGGTTGTGCAAAGGGATGGGGACTTCAGTAGGTGCTGAGAGGACAAACAGTAGGGCACATGCTTTTTCTACTCTGCCAGCCTTATCCAGTTGCTCTGAGGATGGTAGAGCTCTCTCGCAGCAGGGGGTGGGGGGATCTGGGGGGTGGCCCTCAGCATGTGAGGCTGAAGGGAGCTTCAATGACAGAACAAAGGCTGTGTGTACCTGGGACTGAGCTCTCTCGAGGTGAGATGTGTATGAAAGGTTGTCCTCCTTAGCACTGGGATGCCGAGATCCCTGTGTTACATACGTTAATATATTCTGTCAGAAATGGTTACCCTTTTTGAGAATAGAAATTGGGAGAATCAGAGGTGGCTGCATTCGGAGTGCAATAGATGCTATGCTGGTTTTGGAAAAAATGCGGTACTTTTTTTTTTTTAAGATTTTTTATTTTTTACTAGTGTGTGCGAGAGAGTACAAGCAGGGGGAGCGGCAGACAGAAGGAGAGGGAGGAGCAGGCCCCCCACCCAGCAGGGAGCCCGATGCGGGCCTCGATCCCAGGACCCCAGGACCATGACCTGAGCCGAAGGCAGACGCTTAACCATCTGAGCCACACAGGCGCCCAGTACGTTGTTTTCAGTATACATTTTGGTACTGTGTTCCAGGAGCTCTTCGAGGCACTTAAAAATACACAGAAACTCATATATTCTTCCTAACAACCCTCTGAGGTAGGAACTATCATTACCCCCATTTTACAAGCGGGGAAACTGAGGTTTTGAGACTTTAAGTCACTTGCTAGAGAACACAGGGTAAGTAGCAGAGCCAGGAAGCTGCTTTCAGAGCTCTGCACTTAATCTAAGGCAGTTGTGGCCTCCGTCAGTTACTTTGGTGGAGAAACATAGCTCAAGCCTGCTTCAAGAACAGAGTAAGTGTTGCCTGCCCCTGGTCACAATATGGGGGGTGGGGTGGGTGAAGGGGGGTAGAGGTTTGCACACAGCCCAGGGCAGGATGGAGGGGCGGCGGCTTCTTGCTGGTGAAAAAGAGACTTCTGCCTGCCCCACTGGTTGAAAAGTCATGGGGGATGTTCAAGTGCAGGATGGGTTCTCTGAAGGGCAGTTTCACAACTGGAGAAACAAATGATAAAGTTCTTTCTTCCACAAATGGAATATGGTTTTTGTTGAATGAATATTTATTCAATGAACCCCCAAGTTAACTGCATAATAGAGAAGTTATTTCTCTACTTCCTGCTTTTCAGGGTTCAAAAAATGTGTCGTGGGCATCTTCCACATGGGGAAATTTGTAGAACCAATGCTTCAGGCTAGAAGCTGGCAAGTGAAATATGACTTGGACCTGAGGCTGCCAGCTTTGAATTGTCAGATGCTCCTTCTATGTGTATAGAATGAACAGTTGGATGTTCGTGGTCACTAGCAAGCCCTGAGCCTAAATTCACAGCCACCTTTAGCATGCTTTCGTCCTCGGCCTGCAGCTTGTTTTTTTATTTTCTCCCTGGTCCTGAGGGCCAACTCTCATGAGTACCTTTTCCTATACTGATTTTTTTTTTAAGATTTTATTTATTTATTTGACACAGAGAGAGCACAAGTAGGGGGAGTGGCAGGGAGAGGGAGAAGCAGGCTCCCTGCTGAGCAGGGAGCCTGATGAGGGGCTTGATCCCAGGACCCCGGGATCATGACCTGAGCTGAAGGCAGACGCTTAACCTGAGACACCTAGGTGCCCCCCGATTTTTTAAGTAGCCTCTACCCTCAGTGTGGAGCCCAATGCAGGGCTTGAACTCAGGACCCTGAGCTGAGATCAAGAGTCGGACGCCCAATGGACTGAGCCACCCAGGTGTGGCGCCCCCCCAGCCATGTTGATACTTTTAATCTCCAAAATAGTGTTTACCATTTTAGTTACGGTAAGTGAAACTTTTTAGGGGGTATGAGAAAATCAGTAAGTTTTGGACCCTCTCCGATCCTCCCCAGGGTGGCTTCCCAACTCATCACCTGTGCTGCAAATTAAAGAGGAAAAGCCCTTTTCCTGTCTTCACCCTGGCCTGGGTTCTTTGAGATGGGCCCTCCACAGCCATTTCCTCAAGTGTCTCCCAAGAGGAGACTGGCTGTTCCTTGTCCCCCTTTCCAGGGAGCCCAGGGCACAGCTCCCACAGGTAGCCTCAGAGCCTGGAGCCCACTCGGAACTGCGTCTCAGTCCCTGGAGTGGCTCCGGGTTCTGGTCACCGGATTGGTTTGGGGAGGAAGGGGACAAGGGCAAGACTTTGTCTCATGGGAACTTTCTTAGTTTTCACTTCTGCTTTTTCACACTTGAGGTACTCTTTCCTCTTGGTAAAAGTGCCTTGGTTTTAAAAATTAAGGTTGCAAAAGCAGTTTCAGGAGGGCAGGGAAGGTTCTCTGTGGGCCTGGTGCTGGCTGTGTGAGTGAGTTCGCTTGATGATGTCTTGGAGCGGCTGTACACCTAGGATTTGGGCACTTTTCGGTATGTATCTTTTACCTCAACAAGAGTGAAGATTTTACGATTTATTACAAGAGGAGTATCAGCTCACCTGTTGCCACAAAAAAACAAAAGACAAGGTGATGCCAGAAGAGGCTAATCAGTTTAAACTGATGGGAAAATGGGGAGTCCACAGTGAAAGTGGGGACTGACACAATATCTTTTAGGGTTTTATCCTAAAGACACAAAGACGTGTGTGGAGTTTTGGCAGTGGTATTAGAGCAGTGAAAAACTGGAAACTGGAGAATTAAATGCTGAGTGATAGTTAAATAAGAGTGGGCACAATCGAAATTGGCGTGCTATTTTGTCGTGAAAAAGGATGCCATCAATGTTTGTTTATTAAAGCCATTTATGAAAAGCAGAGCACAATATATACTTCACAAATATGCATAGAAAATCAGGAAGAATGTACACCACAATATTAAGAATGGATTACACCCGAGGTAAAGAATAATGGGTGATTCTTACTTCCCCATCTGAGTTTTTTCTGCCAGTGAGCGCTTGTGGCTTGTTCAACTCCGTATGAGAGGAAAGGCACGTGTCGGGCAGCAGGTTTGGCTCTCCGCCTCCTCACCAGAGTCCGTTCTGTCGCAGCCCCACATCTGCCAGTCGAGGGGAGGCCAGGGCCGGTGCTGGCAGCTCTGTAACAATCCTGGCTTCCCACACTGTCAGAAGTCCCTGATGTTCCAGGAGCACCATCAGATATGGTATCACAAGTTTAGAGGCTCAAGGGGACTTCTGTTCAACTGTACTGATGCTCAGATCATACTTGTCAAAGTGGGGGGTGTCACTCCTCTTTCACGGGCCCCTCTGCACTGTAGGGGCTGGGAGAGCAATTTTGCCTCCGCTTGGGGATTTCCCAGAGATTGTCTTTAGAGACTGAGTTTTTCATTTTCCAGGCTTCAGTTTATCCCTTCCACTTTGAGACTTCCTACCCCATGTAGTTCCCCATTTCATTTTTTTTTTTTTAGTTTCCCGTTTCATTATAAAGAAGTCTGATATTACTCAACGACATTACGGAACTCTGTGAAAGGCAGAAGTTCTCTTATTTTATAACCTCCTTGGGGCTGCAGGCGCAGTCATGGGTCTATCACTGCTGCTCAAGAAATCACTGTGCCCTTAACGGTTTGAGACACAGCACCCCACGCTGAGACAGACGCCTCCAGAAGCAAGACCTGAATGGTTGGAGGAAGAGTCCTGAGACTCGCTGTGCCTCTCCATCCCTGGATGTCAACTGAAGAGGTTTGGACCGAGTCATGCTGAGCACCCCCCCACCCCACCTCCGCCCCCAGCTCTAACCACCAGATTCTGAGAACATGGCTCGCAGTAACTCTGGCCTGCCTACCCTTTACCCCAATGTGTGCACACAGTGGTATTGTAACCCTTGTGGTGTCCTGTAGAGGTACAGTCTTGTTTCGTGTCAACTAAGGAAAATACATAAAGAAAAAGCCACCACCCTTTCCACCCCACCCCACCCCCCAAATAATAGTGAGAATGGATATATAAGGAAGGAAGGACTGTTGCTGTTCTCATAGAGTTCTGTTTGGTCTTGTAGTGGCTGTCATACAGGGCCCATCTCCACGTTAGATGTATTTCTCTGAAGGGCTGGGCTTGCCTCCCAGTCTGACCATGGGCCTGAAAGAGAGGCAGATGACCGACCATGATTGCAGCAAGAGCCCCCACAGCGTGGTACTGTATCCATCCATGTCTCTCCGCCCACCCCAGCCTCCCAGCCCCTGCAGGGTCTGTGAACTTGTCCCTGAAACGCCAGCGTGGGACTGGGTGAATGACGTCAGCAACTCTGTCAAGTGCCTTACATTTGCCATCTTGCTGTCACAGCAACCTGAGGGTGGGGGGCACTGGGAAAGAGAGATTAGAGAACTTGCCTGAGGTCACATAACTAGGAGGTGATGGAGCCAGGATCTGAACCCAGTTAGTCTAGCTTCTGGGAGCCTTTGTCAGGGCACCCATGGAAGTGAGAGAAGGAGGCTGATAACCAAAGTCATCAGTTGAGCTGATTCTTGGCCCCGGGGAGGATGTGAGCAAACCACCACCTTCAGCCAAGCAGAGCTACTTTATCTCACACAGACAACCAAAGTGTGATGTCCCACTAAAAATGTGTGTTAATTCAGGACTGGGCTAGCACCTCCTAAATGGGCTGATTCATCATCAATGTCATGTCTGTGCACACAGTCCTCCAAACTTCTCTGGAAGCTGAGCTGCCCTCAGTCATCACTGAGTATGTTAACTCAGGCATGTGGATCCCTCAGATGTGTTTACTCTGTATAGCTTTGTATTCTAGGGTTTTGCTCTCTGTTCATTTCAGAATGAGAATTTTCAGAGAAGATAGATAAGGGATGATTCTCCTCCAAAATCTCCCAACTGCACCCCAAGTACTTGCAAATGCTAAAAATCTTTCTTTGTTTTTAAAGGGTCTTTATCCCCTTGTTATACCGTTTATAATACAGGCATCGGAAATTCATTACATTTCCATTGTTAAAAATGATATGTATTTTGGGACACCTGGGTGGCTCAGTCGGTTAAGCGTCTGCCTTCGGCTCAGGTCATGATCCCGGGGTCCTGGGATCAAGTCCCTGCATTGGGCTCCCTGCTCAGCGGGGAGTCTGCTTCTCCTTCTGCCCCTCCCCCTGCTTGTATTCCCTTTCTCACTGTCTCTCTCTGTCAAATAAATAAGTAAAATCTTTTAAACTATATATATTTTAAAAAATAATAATGCTATATGAGATATTGAAATTGGATTCCTGCAGAGAAATACCAAGGAGTGTGAAATGCAAACCCTAGGTATAAAATTTGAAATATTCTCATCTACTAAAAGGAGCTGGTTATCCTTAAACATCCCGATCCCCCAAGCAGCAAGGAGCCTGAGCTTGGATAGAAGTTTCAGTTCTGATATTTGCAGTCAGTGTGGCCTTAGACAAGTCACTAAATGTCCTAATCCTCAATTTCCTCATCTGAAAAAATGGTGGTGGTGGTAACTACTTGAAAGAATGTTATAAAACTCGATATTTAAAAAAGAAATATATATAAAAAGGAACTGGTACTCTGTAGGCTTTTATTAAATGGTGTATTATTTTGATAATCTGAGAGTCATCAGGTCTCTGCTGTCTTGGGTAGATTTCCTGATCTGAGCCGCTAATCTGTGAGATGGGGCAATGATATCACATGGGGTTGCTGTGTGGAGAAGAGATCCTGAGTGTAACCCCCATTGCGGTGCAGGGCTAGAGTAGGGCTAGTTAGATGTTAGCACAGGCTGTCTCAGCCTAAGTTCAAAGGACAGAGGAGATTGAGACTTCTCTTCCAGGCACTGGTCTTCATTTTTGTTTGTTTTTTCCTGATCATCTCAGAATGATCATGGGCTGGAGTTGGATCAGGGAGTCACTTGGGCTGCCAGATAGCTAACTGCTCATGCCTCTGGGTCCCTTTTCTAACATTCTAGTCCTTAGTGATAAATCAAGGCACTACAATGGCATGGAGAAATTAGGAGCCTAGGCAATTGTTTTTTTGGTTCCCTGATAAAAGATTGGCTCTCAAAACACTAGTGTCTCAAAAATCTACAACAAGGAAATAGGAAAAAAAAAAGTTTTCTTAAGAAAACAACAAAAGCCAGTTGGATTCATCCAGATAAAGAGACCTCAGGTCTTTTGAGGAGCTAGGACCAATGGGGGGAATCCTTCAGATGGGATTTTTGGTGCTAGGCCAGAGAAAATTGAGATTTATGGAAGTCACACTGCTCTCCCCATCAGCCCAAACTGTGCTTCCGTTTCCTCACCTTCCCAGCCTCGTGCCTCTCTTTGCTCAGGAACTATGCTGACTCCCTGCCCCCAGAATTCTACTGCCATGGCCTCTCTGGGAAAAGTTCCTGCCAACCGCAGCTTGGGAAGCTAGGACCTGTGCATAGGGTTGCCCAGGGTTAACAGGCCCAGGGGTTATAAAAGACTCACCTGGGACATTTGCAGACCCGTCTTCGGTTCCCTGAATAAGAAAAAGAAGGAGTAAAGTAACTGCCTCCCACCACCAATAGTCCCCAGATAGATTTCCTCCTTCCCTTCTCCTATTTCTTTAGGATTAATAACTCTTGAGAGCCAGGTTAAGAGCTGCTTCTCCAGCCCTCTTCTCATCAGTTCTAAAAGCATTGCAAATAGAGATGTGGGTTAAGATGGGTTAGTACAGTCACCCACAGTGGAACCCAAAGTAATAGGGGGTTCACTGGGAGGTGGCCCAGGGTAAATCTCAACCGGTCACGGTTTTGACCCAGTCTTCCTGGGCACTAGTCCCAGGGCCACAGGGGCACACCCTCTCCCGCTGGTGTTTGTAGTAAGCCAGAAAGTGCACTCCCTGCAGCCTTCGCCTTCGCCAAGGGAACACAATTCTGCTGCCGCTCCTGGGATAAGGGCTCTGTCTTTCTAAAAAATGTCCCAGAGAGTGGAAAGAGGAGTGGAAAGCGGTTTCTCCAGTTCTGTCTCCAGGAAAGAAATGGGCTGTGCCTGACCCCACAGGGCAGCTCAGATCCCAGAAATCTCCATCCTATCTCCTGGCAAGGGCTGCCTGGAGCAAGCAGCGCCCGAGGAGGAAGTGGGCCAAACCGTTTCGCCCCACTCCACGCGCCCCTAGAACTTACTGTGGTTGCAGATGACGGTGATGACCAGTGACAGGAGAAGGACGGCGCAGGTCCCGGCCAGAGGTGCCCAGATGTAAATTTCACAGGCGAAGTCCAGCCCACTTTTTTCCACTGAAGACACCGAAGACGCCCACGTTTAGGAGCTGGCCAGGGATCCTCCAACCCACACCACCAGCTGGGGCCTGTCCCTCGCGTCGGGTCTCGGTTTCCCCACCATTTGGACAGCTTTCGGCTCTACCTCCAGGATCAGGGCTGAGCCTGGCAGGGGCGCTCCCCGCGGTCCGCACCGCCCCTGGCGGGTCCCAGTCCCGGAACCCCTGCGCCCGTCTCACCTGCGCTGCCCGCCGCAGGCCGGCAGATCTCCGGGCGCAGAGAAACGGGCTGCGACGCGTTGGTGGGCGCCCGCGTGGGTAGTCGCGGCGCCGGCGTAGGGGTGGGCTTGACTGCGGGAGAAACAAATTGTGGTTGGAGTCGGGCAGGGGACATCGACGCTAACCCTCCCCACTGCTTCGCACGCCTTTGCCCAACGGGACGCCTCCTTCGCCCGCGCCGACCTCTGCGCTCAGGGAGGGGAGATGGATTGGGGACCTCCAGGATTCGCGCTCACCCCTTCGCGGCGCGCGCCGCCGCCTGCTGGGTCCCGGGCCCGGCCAAGGGCACCAGGCGCCTCGGACCGGAACGCAGGAGCCCGCTCCCCGTCGCCCAGCCTCTCTTCAGGGCGCAACTGCAAGCTTGTGGGCTTATGTTGATAGCCGCATTGTAGTGACAAGCAAACGCAGGCTCACAGAATTTAAGTAACTGCCAGGAGCAGACAAGCCCCCGAACTCGAGCCTAGATCCGCCGGACCTAAGAAGCCATCTTCAGTCCCGACCCAGCCGCACCTTAGCCTCAGTTTCCTTGTCTGTGAAGCAGTATTAAGTAGCCCCCCACCCCCAAGGGCAATAAGAGGCTCAAAAGCGGGGCGTCCGTGTGAGAAAAACGGGTTCAGAGGTGAGCCCTAACCCCACACCAAGAGGTGCCGCGCCCCGGGCGCCCGGACCTGGCAGGAAGACCGGCACGAAGGGGCTGAAGTACAGCATGGAGTTGCTCAGGACAGAGCAGAAATAGTAGCCTTCGTCCTCCTTGCGGAAGCGCTGCAGGGTGAGGCTGTAGAGGGTGTCATGCGTCTTCGTGCCCGAGATCTGTTTGGAGTCCAGCCCTTCCGCCAACTTGGACCGGATTTGGGAGAGGTACATGAGGAAGACGGGGCGGGCGGCAGGTTCATTCTTCTGGTAGAGCCAGGAACAGCCCGGCGCCGCGCTGGACAGCAGCACCTCGCACTGCAGCTCCACCTTCTTGCCCAGCTGTGCGACCACCATCGGCGGCGACATGCGGAACGGTCTTGGCCCGCCGGCCGCGGCTGCATCTGCGGGCGGCAGGCATCGATGCTGAGCCCGGAGCCCCGCGCTCCTCGTCTGCCCTGCCCCCCGCCCTCCCCGAGGGTCGCAAACTCACGGAGCAGCAGGGCCAGCGGCAGGAGCAGGGCGGTCACCCGACAGGCCATGGCGCGCTCCGCGCTGCGCGACGCGTGCGGACAGGCGCTGGAGCCGGTGGGACGCGGAGGGGGGAAGTTGCGCCCTTCGGCCGGCCGAGGAGCCACATTTCGCGCTCGGAGGATGTGATGTCACCCGAAGCCCCGCAGAGGAGAGTCGCCCTCTTTTTCGCGGTTGCCACCTTCCAGCCCAGGGAGGAGGCTGGGATCCATGATCTGGGCGGTCAAAGCGGGCTTGCAGGGCAGCTGGGGACGGTTAAGAGCTGCGGGCTTGAGGATGAAGAAAAAGGCTCGCAAATGACCTTTGGAAAAGGCTCTCTTGGGACCGCAGAGACAGAGGGTAAAGAGAGATTACAAAAGGTGAAGAAGGTGAGAGTAAGCAGGAAAGCAGGGTGTCCACTTTCTTTGTAGTCACTCAGAATGGCTCTAGCAAGATGGGCACTGAAGCTTGGGGAGGGAGAGGCATTGGTGATTTGCACATGTGTCTGGCAGGGTAGTCTGGGTATTCAGCAGGAGGGCGAATACCAGGGGGCAGCAGCCACCTACCTTGTGTGGGACTGGAGGTCCTCTGCTGACCACACCCTTGGAGATTACTCCCCACTGCTAAACATCACCATACAGCCTCAACATTTTATCTTGGGGCCACTACAACAGCCTCCACATGAGTCCCTCTCTTGGCCACGCCTTCAGCCACCCTGCCATGATCATGATTCTCATAAAGGGGATCTGACAGTGTCACTCTTGCAGCCTCCTTTGACCTGTAGGATTGGATGGAAGCTGAAACATGGCTTGGCTCAGAGCCTCTGGGTGCTGGCTCCTCCCAGCCTCTGCCCAGTCCCCTGGCCCCGCATTCTCACTGAACTTGATGTTGTCTAAACTCTGGACTCCTTGCCTTTGCTGTTCCCTTTGCCTGAAATACCATTCTGTTTAAGCCCTGGCCCCAGCTCCAGTGCTGTAGGATGTGGACCTCATTCCTCTGTATCCTTGGCTTTAGGCGCTTGGCAGGGACACATGTGAAGCCTGGGTGAATGCCTGGGTAGAGGCAGTTTTCCCTCTCAGGCTCCGGCACATCATGCCCCCTTCCTTCTTGCCTATTGCTATTCTGAAACCTTCCAGCCCCAGTGAATACCCGCCTCTCCTTTCTTCAGGGTGCCCGACCCTTCCCACTTTGAATCCCGTAATGAATACACCTCACACTGTTGCTACTTGATAGAGTCAAGCCACGTGGCATTATCTGTTCCATATGTCTGCCCCATCTGTGGGTTTTGCCTGGTGAGGACTGTGTTGCAGACACCCCTCCCCACCATGTCATATCATAGCTTGGGCTGAGGTGTGTTTGTAGAACTTAAATATTGTGTTGGATGGGGCTTTATAAAAAAATATTACTATTTCTTTTATTTCAATGTGTGCTCCCCACCCTTCTCAAATCATCCAAGGTGCTTACCCCTATGTGGAACATTTAACATATTTTTAAACATATTTTATTTTATTTTAATTCCAGTGTGGTTAACGTACAGCGTTGTATTAGTTTCAGGCGGACAGTATAGTGATTCAACACATCCATCCATCACCCAGGGCTCATCACAAGTGCTCTCCTTCATCCCCATCACATGTTTCACCTCCCCTCTGGTAACCACCAGTGTATTCTTTATAGTTAAGAGTCTGTTTCTTGGTTTCTCTCTCTCTTTTTTCCTTTGCTTATTTGTTTTGTTTCTTAAATTCCACATGAGTAAAATCATATGGTGTTTTTCTTTCTCTGACTGACTTATTTCCCTCAGCATTATACTCTCTAGCTCTATCTATGTCGTTACAAATGGTAAGATTTCATTCCTTTTTATGGCTACTAATAATACATGTATAAATATACCACATCTTCTTTATCCATTCATCTATCGGTGGACACTTGGGCTGCTTCCATAATTTGATTATTGTTAATAATGCTTCTGTAAACATAGGGGTGCATGTATCCCTTTGAATTAGTGTTTTCCTGGTTTTTTATAAAGATTTATTTATTTTAGAGAGAGAGAGCGCGCACGCATGAGTGGAGGGAGGGCCAGAGGGAGAAGGAGAAAGAGAATCTCAAGCAGACTCCCCACTGAGTGCGGAGCTGACACAGGGCATGATCTCACAACCCTGAGACCATGACCTGAACTGAAATCAAGAGTGGGTCACTCAACCGACTGAGCTACCCAGGTGCCCCTGTATTTTTAAAAAAATATATTATTTCTTTATTTGAGAGAAAGAGCAGGAGCAGGGGGAGGAACTGAGGGAGGAGAGAGAGAATCCCAAGCAGACTCCCCACTGAGCTTGGAGCCCAACTTGGGGCTCGATCCCAGGACCCAAGACCATGACCTGAGCGGGGGAAATCAGAGTCAGAGCTCAACTGACTGAACCACCCAGGTGCCTTTGTTTTTGTAATTTTTTTGGTAAATACCTGGTAGTTTGATTATGGGATCATAGGGTAGTTCTACTTTTAACTTTTTGAGGAAACTCCATACTGTTTCCCACAGTGGCTGTACCAGTTTGCATTCCCACCAACAGTGCAAGAGGGGAATATTTAGCATTTATATATTTAGAAATGTTTTTAAAGTGTCTTTAAAATTACAAGAGTTATATTTTCTTGAAAAACTTCAAATAATACAAAAACAAAAAAAAATACAAAAACAAAAACAGGGAAAATTCCCTGCCTTAGTTTTCCTCACTGTCATCCATTCTCCAGAGAAAACCACTGTGACAGTTGAGTGTGTCCCTCAGCTATGGTCTGTGCATAAACAGATGTTTATACATCATTTTATTTATGTATTTATTTATTTATTTATTTATTTATTTATTTATTTATTTAGAGACTCTCCAGCAGACTCCCTGCTGAGTGTGGAGCCTGAGGTGGGGCTTCATCTCACAACCCTGAGATCATGACCTGAACTGAAATCAAGAGTTGGGCACTCAACCAACTGAGCCACCCAGGTACCCCTATATGTCATTTTAGACACATGGGGTTGTACTACACATGCATTTTTTGCAACCTCCCTTTCTTAGCTAATAGTAGAAGAAGGAAAGCTTTTCATATCAATACATGTAGATCTACCTCATTCTTCTAAATGGGTGCATTTTCTATGGGTGTTCCATAATTTAATTTCCCTGTTAATGGACATTTAAGTGGGCTGTAGTAGATACAATATATCTGTATCATTGAGGACTTGCTCAGTACATGTTACATTTTCAAATGGAAGATGAGGGAGACTGGGGAAGGAAAACCCTTTGTAATGATAGTTATAACTGTGACTCACAGCATATAGCATGTAGATGTATGCATGCGCGTGTGTGTCCCTGGCTGTGTAGACACAGTGCTGTCCCTTAACCCACATGACTGAGGGTGACAAGGAAACAGTCAAGTCCAGGCTGGTCATCTTGTTCTGCTGAAAGAGAGCTGCAGCTGGCTTGGAGGCCTTCCAGCCTTGCAGCTAAGAGAAGTGTCAGCCATGGGGGAGGCAGCCCCTTTGTACAGAGCATGACAAAGGGTGCGTGGGGCGGGGGGATGCCAAGACATGTGAAACCTACCAAGGAGGCTTTGTGACCCCAATGATATTTTTTACAGAATGTGGTGGATTCTCATCGCAACCACAACGACATCCGCCTTGCAGCAGGTGAGAGAGCAGATGCAATTTGTGAAAATTCTGTCAGCCATGGGGGAGGCAGCCCCTTTGTACAGAGCATGACAAAGGGTGCGTGGGGCGGGGGGATGCCAAGACATGTGAAACCTACCAAGGAGGCTTTGTGACCCCAATGATATTTTTTACAGAATGTGGTGGATTCTCATCGCAACCACAACGACATCCGCCTTGCAGCAGGTGAGAGAGCAGATGCAATTTGTGAAAATTCTGGGGATGCTTGCTTGCAGTAGGGCCAGGTGTGCAGAGGGCTGGGCGGGGCCTGCTCCTTACTGCCAGGTGAGCTCGCATGCCCCAAGCTGCGGCACTCACGCAGGAGGGCATGGAGGCATGGGAACTCCTGCATTCTGTCAAGCAAGTCCCTTATTTTTAAAAACATCCAGAGAGAGATAAGGTAAGAGAGTAACCAGTTTCAGGGGCGCCTGGGTAGCTTAGTTGGTTAAGCGACTGCCTTCGGCTCGGGTCATGATCCTGGAGTCCCAGGATCAAGTCCCTCATCGGGCTCCCTGCTCAGCAGGGAGTCTGCTTCTCCCTCTGATGCTCCCCCCTCTCATGTGCTCTCTCTCCATCTCTCATTCTCGCTCTCTCAAATAAATAAATAAAATCTTAAAAAAAAAAGAGAGAGTAACTAGTTTCTGTGCCAAATTTAAGCAAGTCTTTGTTTCTCTCGAGGTGTTTGTTCTTAAAACATGGAAATAAAGTAATCTTAATTTACATGAATTGAAGGCATTCCGGAACACATAACCCGGCAGGGCAGTGGTATGAGATTCATCAGGGCTCTGACCCGTGGTTCCTAAGACACTGACTACAGGGACAACTTGGAATCAAGGGCCTGCTGCCTCCTCTTGCCAGTCCTAGACTGTAGAGACAATACTGTCTCCTTGGAAGGAGTTAGCTTGTTTGGGTCTAGAAAGGCCGGTGAGTTCTAGAGTTGACAAGGCCTTGCTTTATCTCCATGACAAATACCTGTCAATTCCACCCAATTGTGCCACACCCACTTTTTCTGGAGAATGTTTCAATATATAGAAACATTGTCATACTGTATGTCTTTTGAGTTGTGTTGATACATATAGATTTAGTTCATTTATTTTAAAGGCTGTATAGTAGTCTTATCTTGTGAATATTCCACAGTTCAGTGGTCCTCAAACCAGAGTATTCATACCCTGGGGGAACAAGGAGTCTGGCTGTCTTTGGGGATACACGTTATTTTAAGGGGCTCATTTCCCAGAACTTCAACTCCCGTTTGTTCTCTTTCCTAAGACGGATCTGCCCAGGAGCAAATGTCTGTGTCTAGTCTTCGTGCTGATTCTCTTTCACTGCCTCCCCTTTCATAATTGCTCTTCTCTTGCTTTAGACCTGCTACCCTCCTGTTCGTTAATTTGGTGCAGTG